AACCGTAGCCACAATGAATATTTTTGAAATATTCTACCACTCTACCGACATGTCTTTTTAAATCTCCTCCAATAAAAATTCTTTCTTTAAGAGTTATCATTTGTATTAAGTCTTATATAAATCTTCTAAGTCATTCCAGAATTTATCTTTAGACCCTATATGTAAATCTGCTTGAGGAGCATAAGTACTTATCATATTAAAAATTCTAGTATCAATAATAATTTTAAGGGCTATAATTCTATCTCCAACTTTATTAATTTTTATAACATTATCTTTCAAACTCTTTTCTATAATTACACCTACACCATTTCTAGTGCGACTCTTCCCATAATACCAAAGTTTAAAACTTAAGTTATCAATTTCCTTTGCCTTTTCTCCAACCCATTTAGTTTCTTGAATACATAAGATATTAATCTTTGTATGCATTGTAATATCAACCATTTAATTAATATACCATTGAGAGTACTTATATTCTAAGATACTATCATAATACTATTTTCATTAGTTTCATGGATTACCCTATCCGTCCGTAATGTGGGAACTCTTGCTTATTTAACACTATTTCATTAGTTTCATGGATTACCCTATCCGTGCGTAATGTGGGAACCCTTGCTTATTTAACACTGCACCAGGGCGCCGGTGTAGTTACTGTTGCACGCTTTTCACTGTATTGAGGTCATACAGCGTGTTGCTTCCTGGGAACGCTCTAACACTTACACAATATTCAAAATGATTCATGTCATGATTTCATTTCGACAAGTTTTACGCTGACTATCGACTTACTAACGCAACCCTCTACTTTTTATATTCGGGCTTGGGATCGGCAATGACAGTGTTAATTTTCTAGCAATCATAAAGTCCCGAAATTGATTTCTCTTTAATTTTGACCTAGTTTTATTATTGGTTATTGACTAAACATTAGTTAATATTTCTTATCCGTATTGAGACTGACATTGGCAAATTTTTTGTTTGTAATAAACAAATCGAAACTTTGTTTTACGAAACTGTAAATTTAGGCATGTCTAAACATTATTGGCAACTGCTATGAGTGTAGCATTGCTTATTTAAAAAGAACCATTATGGAAGATTGGAAAAAAAATTCATGAATTATTTAATTATTGTAAACTTAGGGTCTGTTTGGAAAAACTTTGTTTGTTTGCCTTTTAGACCATGAACATGGTTAGGTTTAGGAAACTGCTTTCTTGATGTTTTTTAAAAATTTTTATGGTGAGAAGTTACTTTGTGCAACCAGATATGTTAAAGTGTAGTCTGACTTTTTGGAAATAAATAAATATTTATAATTCAAATTGTAACTTTCTAGGAAGTTGATTTTCTCGTCCCAGCATTACAATCATCTTTACAAAAATTACAGATGTTCCAGACAGACTTTTAGTTTGCATTTTATTTGCTTTGAGCTTGATGGTATATGTTAGCTAGTTTTTCTTTATACAAGGCTTATGAAATAGTGCACAGTAGAGTTGGTTTCCTGACAGTTTCATTTCATTGCTATCTGGTTGTGGGAGTGGAATTGTAGTCAGACCTTGATACTTCCGCATATTCCCATGCCTCCTTCGGTCATTTTTCAGCATGTGACTTAGGGTATGATTTTTTTTCCTTTTATTAACACTGTTTTAAAAAAAATGGGAAGACACGGTTGATGGCATGTTCGTAGCATTTGCAAGCTAAAGCTATCTGTGTATCTTTTAATAATTATGTGTAGAATTAGCACTAAACTTGGAATTGTTTTCCTGAAACTAATGGAGTGAAATGAAGCTATCCAGACTCGTAAAGTGTAATTCACCTGATATGTTTATTTGCATTATACTGAGTTGAATCAAGCTGTTTCTATAGCTTTCCCTATCATTAATCTATTTGCAGTCTGTCACTTAGGGTCTGTTTGGGGCAACTGCAACTGTTTGAAGAAGCAACATGTAGTAGTTGTAGAAGAAGTTGTTGCGGGGAAGTTGTTGTCGATAAAGCTATGTCTATTTGGTTAGTTTAATCTTGCATCATCTGCGCTATAATTGTTTCTGAATTGAAGTCCGTATTGCCTTTATATGCATATATTATTTGTAAATTAATCATTTCAGAAACAGACATAATAGCATAAACAACAACAACAACAACAACAAACCTCTAGTCTACTAACTGGGGTCGGCTACATGAATCTTTTTCTCCATTGCATTCTATTGAGTGTCATATCTATTGAGTGTCATATTCCTATTTAGTGTCATATTTTCATGTAGTTCTAATAAATTAAGATCATTTTTAATACAAGGCCCAAGTCTTTATAGGCTACCTCTGCCTTTCTTAAGTCGAATCTAAAACATCTACTTTCCTAACCGAATTATCAGAAGGTCGACGTTTAATGTGACCAAACCATCTAACTCTCTCTAATTTTGTCCACCATTGGAGCTACACCAACCCTATCACAGATATATTCATTTAGATATATCTATCACAGATATATTCATTTCGTATTTTCTCTTTAAGTGTAAAGCCACTCAACAACCTATGCATTCTCATCTTGGCAACACTTAAATTTGTTTTATTCTTCTCTTTTAAAGGTCAACATTCAACGCCATAAATCATTGCAGGTCTCACCACCATCTTATAAAATTTTTCTTTCAGTCTAAGCGGCAATGGAGAAAAATGATTCTGTTAGCCGACCCCACGTAGTGGCATTAAGGCTTATGTGTTGTTGTTGTCCTAAAACATTTACTCTATGCAAAAACTAGAGCAAGAATGATTATAATTGGCTAACTTTTCGCAGTTTGATCACCCATAGTTAACTCTGTCTCTAAAACTAACTACTAAAATTACATTCCATGTATTTCGTTTTATCTGTACTCAAACAAAGGTGTTTAGACTCCAATGTAGACTTCCATAATTCAACATTTTGTTGAGGTTTTTCTCTATTCTTAACCACAAGAAGGATATCATCAGCAAAAAGAAAACACCAAGGCACATCCTCTTGTAAATGTCCAGCAAGAGCATCCATAACTACTGCAAAAAGATATGGTTTGAAGCTGGTCCTTCATATAATCCAATTGAAATAAGAAAATATTGGGTCTCCTCCTGATCGAACATAAGTAACAACTCTAGCATACATATCCTTAATGACTTGAATATAAGTCATATCATCAACTTTCTTCTCTAGAAATCTCCGAAGGATATCTCTTGGAACCTTATGTTAAGTCTGCTTTTAAATCAATAAAAATCATATGTAGATCCTCCTTATTCTCTTTGAACTTCTTCGTCAAACCTCTCAATAAATGTATTGCTTCCATAGTAAACTTGTGCGATATAAATCCAAATTTTGAGTCCCAAATTGATTATGAGAAATCTTTGCAATATGTCTTAACCTATATTCAATTACCCTCCCATAATTTTAAAGTTGGACACATCAACTTATTTTATCTATAATTTGCACATTATCGTGCAACCCCTTAATTCTTAAAAATAGGGACCAAAATACTTTTCCTCTACTTCTCAGGCATCTCTTTAATTTTTAAAATAATATTAAAGAGTTTAGTAAGACAAGGAACTCCCAAATCTCCTAAATATTTCCACACTTTAATAAGGAGATCATCAGGTCCTAGATATTTTCCACCCTTGGGTTTTTTTACTGTCTCATCAACTTCTTTTTTACTAATACGACGATAAAAATGAAACATTTTATTATTATTAATGATATTAAGATCACTAAGGTCGATTGCATTTTCATAACTTTATTAAAAAATTTATTAATTTAACTCACCTAGCTATGCTGAATATCTTTTTCTAAGAAAAACACTTTGATTTTCATTTTTAATACACTTTATTTAAGTTAAATCCATATTTTTGTTTTCTCTTTGTTTGGTTACTTTATACATTTGTTCTTCATCTTCATTAGTATCTAATCTATTATAAAGATCACTAAAAAATTTTAGCGTCATGGATTGTTGTCTTAGACTCCCTATTGGTCATTTTTTATTTTTCCTAGTTTACTAAACTTTTCCTTTTAAACCAATTTTGATAACATAACTTCTTATATTTTATCTTTGCTCGCACATTATTATTCTATCACCAACTATTTTAATTTATAGAAACTTTTCCTTTTGATTCTTTAATTACATCATTCCTCACTTGTTTAATAGCGTTTGTTATTTTATCCCACATAGAGTTTGCTTTTTCATGAACATTCAAAATCTTGAAACCTTGAAGATTACTAATAAAAATAATTTTATTCGTCTTTTTGAGTTGCCCCCATCTAATTCTACACAATGATTCCTAGGATTCTTTATCATACAACTCTTTATCTTAAAATCTTGAACAAATAATCGATATGGAGTACTTAAAATTCTCACTTGGAATGACCTTACAATCTTTACATTTTCAATGATCTCTTCTTCACGACGATATTGAGTACTTAAAAAAGATCTTAATTTATGATAACTAAATGAAAAGATGACACTAAATAGGACGCAATGGAGAAAAATGATTCTGTTAGCCGACCCCACGTAGTGGCATTAAGGCTTATGTGTTGTTGTTGTCCTAAAACATTTACTCTATGCAAAAACTAGAGCAAGAATGATTATAATTGGCTAACTTTTCTTAATCCTGGTTATTAGAAGTAGCTCTTTTTTTATTTTCTTTCTTGACTTTGCCTGTTTTTGTTTGGCAACTATCACATAATCAAACGTTTCGCACTGAAAAAAGGACCCAAAGAATTAAAACTAAACTTTAGATACCAAAGTTTCCATCTAATCTCTCAGCCCCCCTGCAACTTACAACTCTATTCACACTTCGTTTGATATGGTCCTTACAGCTCATAGTCATTCTACTGATGCACTCTAATCATGCTTCCACTTGAGAGTTTATTCAGGAGTTGAGAGGTTATGGTAAAGCTATATGCAATTATAAATTATATTTTCGTGTATTTAGCTGTCCTGTATCTTTTATACCAGTTCATTTACTGTCCTGTATCTTTTATGACAGTTTGTTTATGCGAGTTTCAGGTCAGTTTAAGAGATCCACTTCGAGCTGGTGTTGATGATCTCGGGCTAAAGGAGATAATTGGAGCTGCGGTATTAATTTCTCTTCTGTCCAAGTCATTCTTCGGTGATTTTTTCAGCATATATTACTTTTGCAATGCACAAACATTCAATTGATGTTTGGATGAATTTATAAAATTTCACTAGAAATTATAATTAGTTATTTTCTTCATGCTTTTTTCTGCTTTAGTCATGTTCATCCCCCTTGCTTGATCTAGATCTAGTACACGTATGCTATCGCTCTTTCATTTGATGTACATTTGGGGTGCTGTTGCATCCCTGGAGTGAAGCGGGCTACATTGGACCAGAATGTTGAATCTCTTTTCTGAAATAAGTTTCTAGGAAAATTTACATACATTCCACTTATGTATTTACACATCTAACACCTAAAATTTAATTTTTATATACATGCCAGCTTGCCTATGCATGAAAATGTGTAGTTCACTTCTAAAAAGTTAAAATAGTGGTATTTTGATCTGATATGAATGATTTAGGTTGTATAAATCTAAAAAGTGAAATTTAGGTGTAAGCTATGGAAGCACATAACAATTGGGTGGCATGTATGTTAATGCCTCAACTTCTTAACACATGTCTTAACATCTTTTAAACAAAAAGTCCAGGCCAGAACGCCTTGGAGTGATATTTTGCTTTTTTGACCGACTTTACATCTCTCTTGCTACAAATTTTGATGCGATCATGGCTTAATCCCTATTTTATTCAGCTAATGTGTACCATTATTATAACTGCTATTGCTGTTGTTTAGGTAAAGAAAAAGAAAGCCGCGCATGCTGGAATGCTCGACCTTGCAAAAACAACAAATAGGCCAATGATACGTATTGGTGGCTGAGGTGCTCTATCATAGGTAAGGCTATTTTAATTCTACATTTTCTTAAAAATGTTATCACTTGTGGAATGAAAATGAAAATACAATCGTCAGTATTGTTTAATTCATAGATCCCACAATGTGCACTTTTAAATAGGCTCTAGTATTAATGCTTGCTTGCTTTACTAAAGCAGATCATACCAATTTTCTTAAAATTGTGAATCCATTGACTAAAAAGCCTGTGATCTTCAATGCATATTTTCGAGCCATTTGGAAATTATTTTTTCTTATTGAAGTTATGATTCTTTGTGTAATATTACATAAGATATTGTAACTAGTAGAGTTTACACAAAGTCAGCTTCTAGCAGGAGCAAATACTTTTTATTGAATCACGTACTGGCACTGGCTTTCCAAAGTAGTGCGTAAAATATTTTTGGTAGTCTCTTTTTTATGAGCAACATGTAATAATTAAGTAACAAAGTAATCAGTAAATGGGAAGGAAATTTTTTTTTCTAGACTAGTTCTGATGTATTTCAGAGATATACCAAAAGAAAATAGTTGACAGAAAAATTATAGAGAAAATATGATATTTGAGCTAAACCAAAAAACAATAAACATATAAATATTATTACTGGAAAAACTAATAGACAGTTACAACCGACACTCAGAAATAGAAAATAGCAATATACACGATACACAAGTTGCTACTAGGGTGTATTGACAGTGGTGGCGGTGGCTCTTGGGGGTCTGGAAAGGTGATGACTAGGTGGGGACATGGAGCAAGGGGTACTCTCTGCTCGGGACGACAACAAATGGATGGGTGGGCTGTGCAGCGAAGAAACAACGATCTGAAGCGGTGTTGGGCAGCTTGTACAGAAGCTTGGGTGCGGGAGGGGGTTCTGGTTGTTGGACAGCAGATCTGTGGCTGGGAGTCAGTGCAGTAGGCCTAAGACAGTGCCTAGATGGTACGCAAGTGGTTTAGGAGGGCTGGAACACTAGCAAAATAGCCAGAAAAACTATTCGGGGTGGCAACAAACGAACGGGGAATGTGTGGGACTACGGGACTGTAAAAGGAGGGGTTGTTCTGGGGCTGCAACGGCGAATAGGATGAGAGGAGTGGACCCCATAGGGTAGGAGGCAACCCTAAGCAAACGGAAGGTCGGTTGACCCTCGAATTGTTTAGCTCGAACTATCTGGACCATGCATGGCGCAGTCACACGTTGAATAGACGTCCACATCGCGTCTTGTAAAGAGCGAACACCCGGGTTATCTCTCTAGGCTGTGGGAGCTTTGACCTCATCTGTTGAAGCTTCTGTTTCCTCACAATATGGAGTCAAGTTGGATACGATAAAGATAGCATAACTGTTGTAATCCCCTCACAAGTCAATCTTATATGTGATGTCATTCCAAAATAAGTTAAAGGTAGCATAAATATTGTAATTCTGTGATAATTCACTCTTATAGGCAATTTCATTCTAAGCACATCCCGTTAGAATATGTATCTGTCTTCTTTTGGCACAGTCAGAATTGAAACTGCATGCAGATGAGTATCTTCACAAAACAAACTTCAAACTATTAAATCTGTAATTGGCTTATTCCAGTCGTGCTCGTTTGAATGTATCTCATAAACTAATATGCAAAAAGGATTCAACTATGGGACGAAATCTATGGCAGGTTGTGTAACTCTCAATAGCAACCACTCGGGAGATAGGACTTGGATCCTATTGTAGAATTTTTTTTCTCCAAATATCCTAAGGTAATTTCCAACGCTTTATCTGTGGGTACACTGTTGAACTGATTTTAATATTCAAATTACTCATTATGGTATTCCAAAAGTGACACAAAATTGTCATCTATAAAATGTTGGACCTCCCTCAATTTGGGCAACTCAGGAAGTATAATTTCTATCTAAAAAGTTTGAAATTCTCTTATCTGGTGTTGTCATCTATCTAGTATCGATTCCTCAAACTCATGTGGCTCATTTGGACATCTAATTGTTAGCTTTGTTGATGCTTCTCTTAACATATGTTAAAAGGTAGGCACAACGATCTCAAACCCTACATGAACGATTATTATCTCAGACTTACTTCTCTCTAGAATAATTACTGTTAATTCAGATGGAGTTGCTCTCATAAGGTCAGTTGGAATCGCTAGTCTCTTCCTTGTCGGTTGGAAGTAGAAGAACCTCTCTGGAATCTTCTTCTTTAGGATCAGTGTTTATTTCTTTAAATGCTCCCTGTTCAATGAAAGTGATCATTCTTCTTACTATGCAATCTGATTCAATATGCCTAAATCCGTGACACTTAAAACACTTCTTTGTTTAAATGGACTCGGAAATGTGGATTGATTCCTCCTCTCTGAACTAATGTTTCCTCAGGCAGGGTCGTTTTGAATGTTCTATTGGTTGTACTCTTGTTTTTTGATTCTGGGGTTGATCTCTGCTTGTAAGATATGATAGTCACTCGGTGAAGTTAGCTCTCCACTTTTGAAATTAAGGTCTGATGATTTTATTTTTTTGTTTCTTTTTAAATTTGGAGTCATCAGTTTTCTATTTATTATCATATGATTTTCTTTTACATATAGCTCTCTTTAATATGATTATCTTTTACATCTAGCTCTCTTTCTTGAATCGTCGAAATGATTTAGAGAATATGAGGGACTGAAAGAGGAGAACATATGAAAAAGTTAGACAAACAAATTAAAAAGAAACATGAAGTGTTTATGTAAGTTAATCCTTATATGATCGGCCAATAGTATACATTTAAAACGAGAATAGATCGAAATACCTTGAAACACATTTTCCACCAAGAGAATCCCTAAATAAATAACCCATATAACCGGTGAATCAAAATTTTATTCTTTTGTTCTAGGGTTAAGAGGAACTTTCAAAGGAATACTTGAGGGATATCCAAGAATATTCTCGATAATTAAAAAACTTGTTTATGATTTTGTGATAACTAGTGAAAAGGGTTTATTTAAAGGATATGATTATCTCAAGTAGGAACATTTCGGTGCTTCAAAACATATACCGAGCCGTTAGTGCAGAGAGAATTTCTCACACCCTAGATGGGCGGCGACTAATCAGCAAATGAGGCCTACGAGATAACCGGGTTATCAAGTAGGATCATCCAACCACTTCAAGGCAGTATTGGGCAATAAGGGTTGAGGGTGAATCGCTGTATTCCAAACGAACAACGACCTATGATATGTCAAAATTGCTTAAAAAGGTGGTTTACCAATAAAAAGGTAAAGAAGTTCTAGACGTGTATAAAAAAAAAACTTAGTTAGGTCAGGATTTCATAGATCTGTCCTAAGTTAATAAGACCTTAAGTGTATCTGATCGTGATGATGTCAACTCAACCCGAATAGAGACCCACCCTTGTCAGCAACTCATGTGTTGTGTCATCCAAGGAATCCTTTGTAGCCCTCAAGTCAAAGGAAGAAACCTTTAAGCCCTATGACAAGGATGAGACTTATGCCAAATAAATGACAAGGAAGCTACTGAGAGGGAAAAAAAAAGAGGAGTCTGGCTATAAAGCCAAAATCATCTAACAAAGGATTTACACTTCATCTAGGTTGGGGAGCCTCTAACACCCTAATTGTTTTAAACGACCACCCAGGTAAAAATTTTATGAATGGTCAGTCGAGTTGAAGAAACACGGGGGCTTCTCTTCGGGAGATGCAAAATGATGCAATTATCTAAGCAAACTCTAATATAGAAACCTTATTAAGTATGACTTGAGATATATTCATGCAATGCGAAGCCATTTTAAACCCTACCCGAAGGCCATGCAAGAAAGAACACAGTAAATAAAAATGCTCATCAACATGAAGCAATTTTAATCATACATTTTGTTAAGCTCGACTATTATTAGGCTTTTATAGAAATAAAATTTTTTTTTGTCCTTAAAGAGTTTGGATTACGTATGTGAAGAGCATCCCAAACCAAGCACAATCATAAGAAAGAGAAACGTCAACACTCACATGAAAATAAACACGTCATATGAATAAATGATGAAATAGGTCGGGTGCCGCTGCGTTGACAACATATCTCAGATAAGACAGAAAAAGACTGGCATCTACATACTTGATTTTATTTCTATACATCGATGCAAATTTATAATTAAGGTACAAAACAAAAGCAAACTGCTCCTGGTCCTCGTCACATGGTTCCACACATCAAACACTCTAGAACATGTGCCCGTACCTTATTTCCTATACAGACTCGGTCTAAGGACTCTAATAAGATACATGTAAAAGTTCTAAAATAAAAAACTCGACTTGCAACCTTGAAAGATTAGTATGGGTTATTTAGATGCACCGTATAATGTTCGACAGGAAGAGAAATTAGCAACGCCTACAGAAAAGATGTTAGTTCAACTCTTCCCTTAATGGATATGGCTCCCTGCATAGAAAACTGCTCTAATATACCGTGTTATATTCCTATGATGCATACGACAACAATATACTTCATGCACAATGAATTTTGTTACACCGAGTGCAGGACACCACGAAGGAGATTACATCTCGCTCAGATAATAACTGAAATACTAAAACATCACCGGGTACAGGACACCACAAGGGAAATTACACCTTACCCGGTTGATGATCACAATGCTAACTTATGTGATAATCACACACCATGTGATGATCGTAAGCAGCGTATGAGGCGCACATAATGCATGTTATGACTTATAAGGATGGTTAGATGTAGCAAGATTAGTAATACGTACCTTTGCTAACAATAACACTAGCACAAAAATTCCAAAGAAAACAATTTTTATACATTGAAAAGTGAAGTTATCAAGCCAAATAAATTTTTAATGCAAAATAAAACTTATAGCACAAGGCAAACATATGATTTTTATGAGCTCCAAACAAAATGGAGCTTTGACATATGATGAACTTGCAAGCATCATACATGAATTTACTTTTGCACATGATAAAATGCAAGCATTATACATGAATGTAAAATGCAAGCAAACTATGTTCTAGACATGCTTGACATCAAATTATGAGCACAGGTCCAAAATTCTTAT